TAAGAGTTTTTCTGTGAATAATTAAGTTTTGAAGAAATATTTACCTCTTATTAGGGCACTCAAATTGACGGCGTTATAAAAAGATACCTCCGAAGTTCTACGATATTAAACGCACACTTTAGTAATTTTTATAGAAAACTTAAGCGGAGATCACACGATTTGTACATTTGTGCAAATGTGTACATCTTCACAGTTAGAGAGTTGTGTTGTTTGGAGACAACGGACCTCAGGTTCCACGCCACTTTTTCTTTTTGTGGCCGGCGAAATTCTTATGAAGCATAAATTGCGATAAAAATTATAACTTTTATGTCCCTAGTATTTTCCAATTGAAGTTGAATTCATTGATCTCAAATTTCATAGCACTGCAAAAGAAATTGGAGGACACACAATATGGGGCTTGAGATTTTGTTTATTTGAATTTTTTTTATTATTCAAAAGTCAGCTTATTTTATAAGAACGAGTACATCTTGGTTAGAGTATTTCTACGTTCGGTTTCAAGGCTTAAGTTGTTATCGGTATTACTTCAAATTAAAACCTTTAAATGGTGCCAAGGGTAGCATGACGCAAGTAGCTGATTACTTGAATAATTCAATTTAAACCGCTAATTACATTGGTAAATATTCAGACTAGTTATGCCAGTTTCGTTTCATAAGCATAAGCCATTGCTGTTCACGGTTAGATTAGACAAAACCCGTCTAATTTTTGTATGAAAAGCCATTATTGTGTAACTTTGGTTTAGTAATGTAACACTTTTTCCTTTAAGACACCCTGGAGTGCATACATAAATATGAAAGCTTTAACTTATGAGTGCTATTGCTACGTAAGTAAATAGCACATAATAATAAACAATTATTGATCGCGTATAGCATATATTTAAATAGATTTCATTTTAAATACTCAAAAGTTTCAATTTGAAATGAAAATGTCTTAATTGAAAATCTGAGATATTTGGTAGCATGCATATTGGGATGGTCCTTAAAATATCAACACCAAAGGGCGCCCCTTTATTTTGTTCTATGCATACAATATCTTACTCAAAGCACTAACGCTTAGACCAATCGTAGGGTTTTCTCTGTGTCGAATTTCATTGAAAATGGGCATTAAGGAGGAGATAAGGCGACACCGCTTGACAGTTGGGTAAGGGTTTCTCAAGTGGGCCCCGAATTTACCAAGATTAATATTTTTCAATGATATTCAGGCAGCACCGAGTTTTGCAGTCAAAAAGTACGCTGTGTAAATTTTGTTTTAAAGTTCCAAATAGTTTTTTTTTTTAATTTTTGCAGTGTTTTGGAAATTTTTATTTTTCTGTGAAAGTAAGTGTCCGAATGAAATAAAATTTTGGGTCCAGGCGCACTCATTCTTTTTTTACTCTGTGTGTCAGGTCACTCCTATGTAGCTGATAATGAGTTATCTGATCATTTGGCTGTAGACTGCTCAACACTTCCAACTTCTAGTTAGGTTTTTATTTTCATGAATCCGATAGGAATACTTGTAGGATTTTTAAATTATTATTTTTGAAACATGTGGCAACCGCCTAAAGAAATTAATTCTGAATTAAACTTTCTTAAACTTCTTTAGTTTGATACCTATTTTGTAATATGTCATTTATTTGACCAATTTAATAATTGAATGAAATTCTTCAATTAGGTGGCAGCCCTCCTCAAAAATATTTTTGACAGTAAACTTTCCTAAACCTCTTTCGTTTGATGCCCATATTGCAATATTAAATTTATTTTATCAATTAAATCAAATTAAAATTTTCAAACAGGTGGCAACTTTCAACAAAAATATTTTTGACTGTAAGCCTTCTTAAACCCCTTTCTTTTTACAGCCATATTGCAATATTTACTTTATCTTATCAATTTACTTAAAGAGGTTTCAACTCTCTCATTATATTTTTCCTATATTTTAGGCTAGACCTTTAGCAATGCATCGGTGAAAACTGCATTCGTGATGCCATTATAACGTTCAAAAATGATCGGAAAAAATAGAAATCTTAATCGCTTGGCACTAATATTTCGATATTTTATTTATGTATGTTGTGTAAAAGTAAAACAAAAAGTAAAGTCGACTTTTCAAACAGGTGGCAATTCATTTAAAAGTATTTTCAAACCATAATCTTTTTATCGTCTGTCGTCGTATGGTATACATATTTCAATTAACTGGTGAATAAAGTTGAATTTGATTTTTTAAGTACATGGCAACTGTCCTAAATACAGTTCACAAATAAATTATTTTCAAATCCATTTCGATTGATACCCATTTAAAGAAAAGCCATTTACCTTATTAACTAATTTGAATTGCATTTTTTCGTCAGGTGGCAGCCCTTTTTTGACACCCTTAAAGAACTCTAAATGTTCAGTTTTAAGATTTCTTAACACTCGTACGTTTTATACCCATATTTTAATATTTCATGTGACTTTTGCATAAGTAAACTAAATACGACTTTAAAAACAGGCGACAACCCTCCTTGAATCTATTTTCGAACTAAAATTTCTTTAAATATTTTTCGTCTGACGTTGTTATAAATACTTAAATAATAAATAACTGATGAATTAAGTTGAAATTTATTTTTTAAACACGTGGCAACCCTCCTAAATATAGTTCTGAAATAAAGGATTTTAAACCCATTCCAATTGACAACCATCGTTTAGTAATTAATTTATTTTATTAAATAATTTTAATTTAACCTTATAAACTGGGACAACCCTCAAACACATTAAAAATATTCTAAATTATCAAATCAAATACTTTTTAAATCTCTTTCATTTGACATGCATTCTTAATATTTTATATAATTTGGTATGAAATAATTTAATTCCACTTCTCAAATAGGGTTTTCAAAATATTTTCAAACTACTACATTCTTAAACCTCTTTTGTCTGACACCCATATAGTGATACCTTATTCACTAACCAATTTCCTTTAATTAAATTTGATTTTCATTTTTTAAACATGTGGCAATCCTCCTACACGTAGTTAAGATATAAAGCCTTTTCAAAACCATATGGGTCGATACCCATATTGTAACAATTGACTTAAATTTTTAAATAAAAAAAAGTATTATTGCACATCTACAGCCCAAGTCCTTTAATTTGACACCTCACATTTGAAAATCGAACGAACGGTGCGGATCTGATGACCTGGACAAAAAATCCCTTCGCGTATTATGGTATTTTAGGCTTTGATTTAAAATATTTTCGATTTATCTGCATTAATCTTTGAAAAAATTCGTTTAATACTTATTTGGTATTTTTAAGTCTAAGTACGCCACTTAAGTTTGATAGTTTTGAATCGAGATTTATAAATGGATGCTAAATACTTGAACTGTCATAAAATTTTATATTATGTTTAAACATATGTATGTATGTATTGTATTGTATTGTAGACAAACACATATTTATGTATGTATTTAAAGTGGTATTATATAGTTTTTTATTTGCACAAAATTATATTCGTATTCGCAATGCATCTGCAACAACAATGATATTACGGGTATTATTTTCTCTAATAACACTGAAATTGTAGCTACTGCTGCTGCAGCTGATTATATTGTATTTTTTTTTTGCAGATTTTAAAACTGCCTACTTACAAATACATATCAGTGTGTATACAATACAATACAATAAAATACACACAAAATGTGAATAAAGTAATAATGGCAAAAGCGGATGAGCTAGGGGCAACAAAAATTTGTCGCCATCGCTACCAGTCGCCACAGATACATTTACTTAATGCTCGTATATTGTACTATGTCTGAGTGTAGATATATTAAAAAATATATACATATGTATGTATGCATGTATGTACAATATACGAAACAACTAAGCCGCCCAATCAAGCATACAGCCAAACAAAGCTAACGAACCAACCATCCAGCACAATAATAATCATAATAAAACTAGTAAGTAAATGTACGCGTTTGTATATATTTTTAGACATACTACATAAGTATGTATGTATGTACATATCTGTATGAATATGTGCATGCAAGTGTAAAAAAATCCAGCAAGTTAGCCAAGCATTGCAATATGAACGCAGAAGGCAGCAGGCAGCGCAATTCGATGAGATCGCCAAACTGCAAAAGTCGCCACCGCTCGAAGCGGTTCGATGCGGGTTTTTTATTCCGTACAGTCGTACTTTAGTACAACTAACCCGTCACAACAGCAGTATATGAAACTATTAAGCATACATACGTATATATGCATATATATGTATATTAGACCACGTCGAAAAAAAGCATGCAATGTGACCAGAATAAGAGGTCGCGCGTCGAGCCTCTAATTTTCGAATCCCTTGTCCTATTTGGGTAAAATCTAGTAAATACCATTTTTTTTGAAAGGCTCAACGCGCGACCTCTTACAACTGTCCTACAGATGGGAGATTCATGGAGGACCAAATGCTAAAATTTGAGTCTTATTCTGGTCGCATTTCAGAATTTCAATTTAATTTAATTTTTTTTTTGACGTGGTCTAATGTATATGCATATCTGTGCGATCGTCGCATATGTACGCCGCGGCGATATGTTTTGATATCCACTTACTTGCAAGCTTATATACATACACATACGTAAATACATATGTACATACTTAACTCTTGTACAAAGCTACATTTATTACACCTTTTTGTGCATTTTATTTTCCACTTCATCTTATCCGTTTTGTGCACGATTTTCGTAAAAGTGGTTTTACAACAGTGTTGGTGTTTATTTTTGTATGAATTTTTGTCTATTTTCTTTTGCTCATTTTGCTTCAATATTTTTATATTTTTCACTTTTTTATTTACTACTCGTACATAGGTAGATACATCATACATATGTACAATGTATGTACACCGACAAATGCCAAGCGCGGCTTTCAAACGTAAGTGCTTTAACGCTGGCGCATGTATTGGTGTAACTAAAAAAATTAACACACTGCGAAATCGTTAAAGAAAATAAATAGAATGGAAAAACAAAAAGCGAATTGGAAAAAAAATCCATTTCAAATCTGGTAGAAAAATCTCAAAGCCAACGCTTACCGAACTTCAGACGTCGAGTGGCAGCCGAACTTGTAAGACGTGCTTTTGGCTCAAACCGTATATATATATAAAGCTTCAACAATTTTCTGGCATTACTTCTACCAACTACTAACAACTATTGCTTCTCATCTCAAAGTTATTTTGTTTGGTTACTTAAGTGAAAAATAAAGTGACTCCTTTTTCTGAACGGCTGTGAAAGGGCGATCTGACCTAAGCAACAAGTTGCTGTAAGTGTGTTGCTAAGAATTGAAAAAATAAAATTAAATTGAAGAGTGCTATTAAATTTAAAAAAAAAAATCGCAAGTGTTGAATATAATTTTATTTTGTTATTATTGGAAAAGGAGCTTATATTCGAAGGACATTTCAGAACACAAAAACTTTTAAAGATTTTATAAAATTAAAAATAAAGTAAAGCCTGGGAACTATAAGAATAAGAAGTACAAACTGCATAAGTGAATGTCAAAAGTGAAATATATATTTTTTACTAAATGTACATATGTCCTAGAAAAGAAATACTGCTGAAGGATAACAGCAGTTTTATGAACTGTTACTGAAAATATTGTTTTCAAGTTTATGGAACTAGACCTCAAAAACATAACCAAACAAAATAAAAAAATCGCCCGAGATCAACTGTGAAAAATATTACAGTTTATATGCGCTCGTGATTGTTCAAAGGACTCTACTACGATGCACGAAAAAAAATTTATATATATTTTTTTGCAATTGAGATGAATAATATATTGCAATAAAATTTCAATAACATTTTTTGATTAAAAAAAAGGGGGAAAAATTCAGTTTTAAATTTTTTGGAAAAGTTTCGATCCACATGCCAGTACTAAACTAATCTCTACAACCGCACAGTACAAGTGGAAAACGAGATTTGCAGTTATAAAATAAAATTTGAGAAAATCTCTCGAAGAAAATTGTTACTTATGGGTTTTATTCCTTCCAACATATATGTGCGATTTATTTTTAGACTATCATTTTTTTAAATTTTTTATCATACACATTTTATCGATATTTTTATTAAATACATTTATAATACGAGGAACTTACGAGCGTAGTTAGATAAATTAGTTACTTTCGGAATTTTTCTTGTACAAACTTTGAGCCGGGTCAAATAGACAACTATAATAATTAGAACTCAATCATTTCAGCGGAAATGGAAAAATTACGAACTGCTACCCCAATACAAACCTGAAAAAATTACTCGATGTGTATTTGCCTCACAATGAGGAGCTCATCACTGAAACAAATATCCACGAAAGATTTTGAAGAAACCTATTAAGTATTTGGTAGGAATAAAATAATTCGTAAAACACCAGACCAAATCTATCGAGCAGAAGGGGGAATACGTTTTTGTCGAAAAATAATTGTATTCAAAAAGTTACTGACTTATCAAACGGCCCTCGTAGAACGGTTATAAAAATGCACACTCACAGAAAATTCTGCTTGTTATATCCAATCCAATTATGACGGTCTAATATGATTAAAAAGATTCGAAAGTATAATTTTTGGTGCTTTTAATTTTTCAGTTTCTTTTTTAAGCCGGCTTATGCTTGTAATTTCTTTCCTCCGAAAGGCTTGCCCGATTTTCACCAATTTCTTTTTTGTACTAATTTGGGCTCGGTAGATGACGCTGGAGTCGACATATATCGTCGCCTGGGTAAAATATTGTCGTAAGCGTCATACGTACATGCGTAACATACGACAATCTTTTACCCAGGCGACGATTTGTAAAGCTGGTTTTTTATGATTCAATCTGGGTCCAATTCAAAAAAATTTCCAAAGAATGTGCCCTGACGTCTCCTCGCCCTCAAGACAGAGCCGGCATTCTGACGTTATGGTAAAACCAATTCGGCGCATACGATAGCGATAAAGACTAGTTAGACTTCCAGGGAGTAACCTGAGACTAAGTCCCAAAGATGCTATGTGCACATGTCCGACGACGGTGCTGGAAGTAGTCCTCGAACTTGAGCCTCTGCATATAACCACAAAGGCCGCCAAAAGAGCTGTGCGGTCAGCTTTGCTTGTGGGGAATTTGGAAAACGTAAGGTCATATCCTCTAGGAATATGGAGAAGTTAGTGTGCCCACACTCGGTAGCTCTGATGACATAGGTAGAACCATAGTCAATCTGGAGTTTCTCCGACTTAGAGGGACTACTTCAGGGCAATATCCAGCACTGGTACATAGATGGTTGGAGGACTCCAGAACGAATAACGGCTGGAATCTTCGATCTCAGGACCAATACCACTGTTTCTATGGGGAAATATCCGCACTTCTTTCAGGTTGAAGTTTACGCCATCAATCTTTGTGCGGAGACAATCATGAGTAGAGAGCCAAGCAGCACTCAAGGCTCTTCTATCTTATGAAGTCAAATATCGTGGTTTGTCCTTGAGTGAATTGAGAAACTTAACTCCCTTGTAAGACACAATAACGTCAAGTTAGGATGGGTATCTGGCCACAGGGGAATAGAGGTAAACTAGGAGGCGGACTGTCTCGCTAGAGAGGCGGCAGCCATTACACCAGTTGGCACCGAGCCCTTATTGGTAAAGGTCCCAACACTATAAATGTGGAGCTTCGGAGTGAAAGGAAGACACTGAGGGATAATAATATGCATAGCTCAAGAGGAATGCGTCAGGCAAGGAATTAACTGGGAGGGACTTCAAAAGAAGAGTTTCCAAAGTTTAATTAACGTCCCAAAAGAGAGGCGTAGAATTTTAAGGTATCCTTACAGGACACTACAGACTAAGAGGGCATCTACATAAGCTGAGCATATGGTCAAATGAGCTTTGCCGGTTCTGCGAGACGACCAACGAGACTTCACTTATACATTCTCACCGAGTGTGATGCAGTCTGCAGAAGACGCAAAAAAAGTCTAGGCTCGGCGTGACCACAGCTTAAGCACACCCACTTCCTACCATCGAAGGCGTGGTTGAACTTGCTTAGGAATCTAGGCTAAGAAGTAGTGTTGCGAAGATTAGAGAGCACAATAGATCACTAGGTCGCAGGGCACACTAAAAAATTAGTTTTTTATTTTACTTATAGGTCTTTTCTACCCTGAAGGTTCTAGAACTGATAATATGCATTTACATACTTTAATGTATTATAAATTATTTATTATATTTTCAAAAACTTAATGTAAAACTCAAACTACTCGATGCCTAATAAATTCTCTATTTTCTCTTTATCAGGTATTAAGCACGCTCATTTTTCTCGACAACTTTCTCGTTTACTTTGTGGATTAAATATTTCGCAGCGTAGATGACCGGCAAGGATACGGATTCAATGGCGACAGTGCAAATAAAGCCCGATTATGCTGCCAGTGAGGTGTATAGCACGGCCAGCGAGGCGCCACCGGTAAATATTTAGAAAAATCAATAACATATTTATACGATACTAACTAGCAGAATAACTCAATTCATTTAGCAAGCATAACTAACTACTATTTTGATATTCATACCTACAAAAAAAAAAGAGATTTAATTTTAACTAAATATGTAAATACATTACTCTGAAAACTTCTTTCCTCAAACGTGCGCTCATGTTTTCCTATAAGCCATAAAATACACTATAAAATACCTACCATTAATAATGATTTAACACTTTCTGTGCAACACAACAAATAGTTATAAATGCAGCTGCACCTGCGCAACAACTCGGTCAACTAGTTTTTCTTAATTGTCTGCAAGTTTGCGTATAAATAATATTTACTAGGTACATACATACATACATATGTACATATGTATGCATACAGGTGCATGTGTGTGTATATGCATTTTTGACTGTTTCTTTTTATGCATAGTGTCTTATGACACAGTTGGCGTCAGTCCTTTGCTCGCACCTTATTTAGTAAGTGCACAAAAAGACATAAATCTACTTATATAAATACATCTGTATGTCTGTATACATATGTGTGCATGCATGTATGTTGCTACATAAAAGCTTAAGCGCGAGCTAAGGTCTTGCTTGCTTACCTAAATGTTATTTTAATTACCATTTTAAAAGCGCGCCCCAATCGCCCAAGCACTTAATGACCGCGCCATACAGTCAGAAATCTCACCGGCTGACTATGTAGTTGCTTGGCACCGATTTCAAAACAACCAACTGTCTATCGGACTGTTGTCCCAAGCCACAGATACAGCCAGCAGCAGCAAAAGTCACAGCCTCCAATTTGGCATCTGTGGAGATGTAATTGTATACATTTATGTAGTATTGTGTGTGCAGTAGGGTGGTCCAAAAACAGTAAAGTTGGAATTTTAATGCTCCCAAAACCCTGGAAACAGTTCTATATCGAAAAAATATAGCAGTATTTTTTATTTTGAATTCAAAAAATATTTAGAGGTCGTTCAAAGCGCTCAAAGTTTTCCATGTATTTTACATAGAAAAAAAAAACAGACTTTCTTAGAAGGGGGTTAGAATTCATGAAAATCATTATTTTTCGATCGGAAAGCTTTCTTTATCTTCAGGGGACTTCCAGTAACAATACCTAGTTGTTTATATAACATTTAACAATTGTAAATTTAGCATTCAAATTTAGACTTACTTTTTCACATGCATATTTGGACCCCTTACCGGGATACCTTTTAGCCACCTCCGAACAATTATTTCCTGCGAGGCTTACACCTCCTCTTAAAACAAAAATTACGACTTCAAGCAAGTTTTTCTGTGTATACCTTGGCAGCGTTTAGAAGTACTATATCTTTGCAGCTGCGCAATGAAGCCAACTAACCAACCAACCAACCAACCAACCAACGAACTAAGTAATCAACTTACCATTAACAAGCCATTCTATAAGTATTTAATTTGTTTGTTGCCGCCTCTCGTACCGCCTCTACCTACCACCACCGCTGGGCAGTGGCATTTGCAACTTTATCTGTTTGTACGCGCTTTTGCAATCACACACATACATAAATACGTATGAGTATGTATTTGTAAATAGCCTTTTTTCAATTAAATATTTTCTTACAAGCTTTTTTTCCTTATATTTTTCCTTTTTTTTCCTTATAGTTTTCGTAATTCCGCTGCCAAGTGAGTTTGCTTAGCTTGCAGCAGCTATGTATGTATGTATTTCATACCTGGGGCTGCGCCGGCGCAATACAATGCAACATTCACAAATACATACAACTTTGAATTCTGGCCATAAATCTGGGTTACTGTGCTTCTTGGCGGCTCTTGGTTGAACGCCTCACACTGATTAACACACATACTTAAGCACACTTACAATACATACATACATAAAAACAAATCGAGTTAGCACAAGACTTAAGCAAATGCCGAAAATTTGTTGTCTTTGCCCAATAATCGCTGTTACTCCTTGTCAGTGTATTTCGATTGAAGGTCTCTTTTGCCAACCGTCGAATTGCATTGCATTGAGAATAACAGCGCATTAACTTCTTGTTGGCATCAGCCGATCTGGCTATGTGCAATGACTCTTTGTGCTCCGTAATGCGCGAAGCGAAGATACAGAGATTCTTGAAATATATACTATATATAAGTAAATGTAATTTGTATGCGTGTATGTACATTAGACCATACCGTACGCACCGGAATCTAAAGTATTTTTGCATGGCAATTTCGAAAGAATTTTTTTTTTGCTTTTTTACGTGTTTTTATTCCCAAGTACATTTACTTCAAGCACCCTGTTGTAGTACATACCCACCAGAGGCAAGTTTCTTGTCTCGAGGAGGCAAATGTTTCTAAGCTCATAGACTTCAAGTACTTACCTACCAGATCTCAGTTCTTATCACTCCAACGTACAATCCTAATGCCAGTACATTAAAGCTGACCAAAAGTCTTGAAACTTTTTCTTTTTATTTCTTACTTTTGTGCTTTTTTGCTTTCGATTTCTTGTACTTAATACGAGCAATTACCACCTTCGAGCTGTAATCTGCTTATTCCAATAGGCATAAACTGCAGTTGAGGCGTAGTGGAAATGAACTATAAGAAAGTATTTCGATTCCAAGGCAATTACACATTTTTTTTGTCGCCTTTTTACATTTGTCGTCTTAGTTTCGGCATTTACAGTCGGATCTTAATCAATGCCTTTATCTCGAGCAGACAATCTTTTTGTTCCAAAGTTTATTGACCTCAAGTACTCCGTTCTAGCACTTACCCACCACATCTCTGTACTTATCGCCCTACCCTTTTGCCAAGGCAGTTTTTTGATTATTCTAGTAGAACTTAAAAAAAAAAAATTGTAGTAGGTGTAACCGAAGAATTTTAAAGAAATTTAATTTTTTCGAAACTGCCTTTTTTTGTTGGCTTTTAGGGTGGTATGCCCTAATGTACATACATATCATGTGTGTATGTATTTTCTTACATAATATAGTCACATACACACTTGCATATGTCTGTTAATGATTTATCTCATTCGAACATAGTACCCGCCACTTCTTCAAACACTATTACGAAAATGCCATGGTCATGTCATGTTTTAGTACATTTCCATATTGCAACATCGTCGGAAACAAGCCGTGCAATCTTTTGTTATGCCAAAGAGTTAGCTAAACTTGTTTCTTTACTTCTTGTTGCATACAAGATGGAGATATTTGTTTTATATGTGTTTGTATGTATGTCAATGATGAGATAAGTACAATCCACTTAGAACACACTTCCATACATATGTACATACATACATATGTATAATCTAAAGTACTAAATTATGAAGGCAAGGTATTCGAAATACATATATACTGTAAATAATCCTAGCTAATATCTGAACTTTTGGGCGTCGGAGAAGCTTCATCCTAATCTTTTTAAATAGCTTGAATACTTTGACTTTTAAGCCACTTTTTAACAAACTACACGAAAAATCTGTAGTTCCAGTAGGAGGCACAGTCCCTTGTTGGGGTTTCCTTAGGAGGAAAAAATAGAAATCAAGGCATTGATGCGCTGAAGCACTTGCGCTACCAAATTATATTAAAGAGGTTCAAGAGTACTACCTCCGCAATCTCTGCGAGAACTTAGGTTTTCGATGCACCTCAAATGTAGATCTTGACATCGACGCAGCAACGACGTTGAGATGGACCTTGGATGTCAAAGAGGCATTTACATTTCTGTCCACCGTTCCGCGATTTCACTACTTTCGATTCGATTACTTTTAAAGTGGCTTGGAAATCGACGAACGCAGAGGCTTTTCGGTTTGAAGAGACTAGTCTGCAGGTCTTCCGACCAGAGAGCGGCACCGGTTCTTTATGTATGAAGTATTTTGGAATGAATTTCCGTCGCTCATGGTCTAGTTTGGTTGAAAGGCAAACCTATTCGGCGTTGTGTAATTTTCAAGGCAATTTTTCTTTACTTCTATCAAAGTCGTAAACCGACGTAATGGCTTCTAAGCCAACATTGATTTTATAAAACTGGACACATTTCCCGAAGTTTAGATGTTTTGCACATTTGTTGCTTCCATAAGCTGGAGTAGTAGTGTTTAGAGCTTACCACCAGACTAGGGCCCCATGGGTATTGTAACCCTGATTACTTTGGTGTATACACTATAGGTTATATTCGATGAGAATCCCCTGTTGTGTTCCAAAAGCCGTTTTGCAGGTATAGCAATTTTAGACTTAACTCTTTCCGAAAAAAGGTACGGGAAAAACTAGGAACGAACAACAGAGTAACCGTTTGGTGGGTTCCAGGCCATGATGGCTTCGATGGCAATGAAATGGCTGACACTCTAGCGAAACGCGATGGTCAATGGAGCCTGTACGGCACTCAGCCTTTCTTTGGTCCATCTAGAGCTGCTAAATCTTAGCGGAGAGGGCTTAAGAACTCTGATCGGATACCTGACAGGATACTGCAGACTGAGGTACCGTCTACACGAAACCGGACTCTCTGAGGAAACAAATTTTAGATTTTGTAGGCTAGAGAAGGAAACTGCACTCTATATATCACTTACTCCTTGGAGAACGATTATCGTCTCCACCCAAAATCTGAAACATTACACCCTCCAAGGTGCTTAATTTTATTGATAGCCTAAGGTTGGATTGACTAAATTTATAAGTGTTTTCACAATAGAAATAGCTAGGTCGCCCTTACATATAATAATAATATTATTTAATTTCTTCCACATTTATTTTCCTGTTCAGAGTGGTCCAGAATGAGGTCTAAGTATTTCCTTCCAAAGAAAAATTCTAAATAGCGTGAGCAGAGAAAAAGTGGAGACTGTTGTTTTTCTTTTAGACAAAACAAGTACTGTAGGGATTGCCTTCCAATTAATTAAGAGATAGTATGCCTTTCTTAAGAAGTGCTGCTGCTGATTCGAAAATTGTAATAATCTGAGTGAGCTTTTAAACTAAGGGGGTACTTACGAATTTTTTGCGTACGTGGACCGACCTGGTCTAATAGACAAACACACATACATA